CATTTTGGAAATAGCATTTTGAAATGCATTTTCTGTATGTAAAACACCATACCGTTGATCAGTACTATGTTTGAAGGAGCATAATTTGTCATTAAGTCATTACCAAGTATTCATTTCTTCATCATGGATGTTTAGCCTTGATTGCTCAATACAATCTCGATCGGTGCCAGTAAAGAAACTCGAGGTAAAAGGCGAATCCATCTCGTATTGGTCGATTAGTCTATTGATATTAAAACTTGGTGGTCAAATACTCACTTGGTGTTTCGTCCTATTTTCAAAAACTAGCTTCATGTATGAGACGGGCGGGACTACCGTGATTTATTAAAGATATCTAACTAGAGTAGGGTCCAAATTAACATTGTCGAAGATGAGGTTTCTATGATTGCATAAAATTTCTAACCATTGAAGAAATTTTAAGGCTAAATCATGAAAATTTTAGGTGCACAAAATGAACTTTGGCGTCAACCAATTAATGTATTCGAACTTAACAACCAGAAGAGAACAGTCATATTTGAAACAAATTTTTTTATGAGGCTAAATTAATTTGTGCGTATATTATTTCTCTTATTTGTGTAAAGAATCTGCACCTCATGATAATTTACAATGTTACAAGAGAACCTAATGCTAGTCCAGACTCTAGGCTTTGGATTCATACTTGCAATATTAGAAGAGAATCTATTAGTATAGGAGATGTTATTTTCTTTAATCAACTAGTGCTAGATGTAGCTAAAGAGCGCCGTTGATCTTGACGACGACGAAGTTGATTAATGTCTTTTAGTTTATTCGCCGATTTTAAGCTATGCCGTTTTATTTTATTTGATTTTATGACCTCCAAATGATGATTTACTGTAATTCTCTGTATTGGTTCAGGCACGCTCTGCTTTGCATCTGGAAAGCCTGCTAAGAAGTGGACATATTGGGGTCGAAGCTATTAAACGAGATGCTGAGAGTTAAAAGCTACCGTATAAAATTCACTTCTTTAATATGATTTCAATGCAGCCGCTTAATTTATGCTTGATTATTTTCTATTGGTCATAAATTTTGATTGAAGTTTCAGGTTGCATCCACTAATTAATCTCCACCATAGTTTCAAATTCATAACTTTAAGAAATTTATTTTGTTTTGGATCAAGCAACATGTGTTGGTGTTGTTGTTGTTGTTGTTGTATACTTGATCAAACATTTGTGCTATGCAGCTAAATGTTTGCTGTTGAATCTCTTATGGGCTTGTCTGGTTCCTTTAAAGTATGACTTTTACATATCTAACACTATAACATTCATATATTTTAATCAAATATTTTATGTAGTTTGAGGTTTAATACATCTTATAAATAATCAAGATATTATTTTGATTATTTGCTTTTGTATGTATTACATTTAGCTCTCTTTTCAACCTTTTAATTATGAAGCATCAAATAAGCTTGAAATAAATAAATAAAAAAATAAAAAGAATGTAGGATAAAAATTATGTTATTAATTTATTAAAGATGAATAATGGAGTCATAAGTGAGTTGAGGGATTATAATTAAATGTATTCATTTAATTCAAATAAAATAATTTGATAAATTTAAGACAATGTATGGTGGGTACATTAGTTTAAAATTGGGCCTAGCAATGACATTAAATAAAAATGTTTAGTTAGATCATAAAAAATAAGAATAGAAAGGAAATAAAAAAAATAAAAGTAGGCTATGAAAAATCAAGATATAAAAACTCACGACCCTTCAAAGCACAAATAGAAGCTCCATCCAGAGACATAAAAATATTAAAAAAAAAACTTTTCAGAATCAAAATGCAGTGTCATAATTTCTCAGAAATAAGCATGACCAACTGAATTAAGAAGACACATCCAAAAAGTCAGGAGAAAGAAAACATCTAAGAACAAAACAACAATTTGGCTAGGGTAAATATGTTATTATTATAGTATTAGACAACATAATTAATTAAAAGGCACAAAGAGCAGAGTAGAAACGAACACTGGCAAAGATAGCTAAAAAGACAAGTGGGTAGAGAGTACCTGTTCATCCAACTATCCAAGTATTTGTACTTATCAGATAACATAATGACTATGATTTATAGAAATCAGAAATCATATCAAAGACACCAAATAAAACAAACAAGAGTAGGAATAAAGCAAAAGCTAGATAAATTGTCGAGCTTCATGAGACAATGAAATCATAATCATAACTTGCCAAAAACAACATGCTTCAGAAAAATAAACAGAATTTTGTTGAAAAAAAAAATCCAATAATAGGGCAGCCTCCACGAATTGAATCAAGAAGCCATATTATAATAAAAATTTAAACCCATAAAGATTCTTAACTAGAGAGTGAATATCATGATCCAGCTAAATAGTCCAAACTCTGAAGAATATCAAATAGTTTATACCCTCAAGCCACTAAGTTGTCTATCAGTAAGTTCATTTCTTTGTATTTTAGCAAGGCGACAACTTTGCACTTAAATAAAGCTGTTGAATGAAAAAACATAATAAAAATTAGATGACTCAAACATATACCTATTGACCTCATTTTTTATGAGGTCTAGTCTTCTTCTTAGAACTTACAATCTAGCCATAAAACTTTTCTATTGACTATCCTAGAAGCCTAGTTATGGGATCCACCCGTTTTAGAATTTCAAACCACATCTTAACTCTTTTTGCAGTCTCACATGGATGGTCATAAACCTCCACAAATTTGCTACAAACTTCCCAAATTATCAACCTATTCTTATCAATTTTCAAATCAAATTTCCATGGACTCCAAATTGTCAAATCATAGCAATTTACATCAAATCCAACCTAAAATCCAAAGTCAAATCCAACCACACCAAATTTCAAGCCCAGATCCAAAATTGCCTAAGTCGAAATTCAAATTCACTTTGAAAATCAGATCCAACTCTACCAAATTTCAAGTCTCAATTCAAGATCACCAAAGTTCAAACCCAAATTCACATCAAATTCCACACAAATCCAAGATTACCCAATTACATTCCAAAGTTCTCTCATGGCAATCCCTAAAAATTTACCAATTGCCTTGTGTCATGTCTATATAAGGTGAATTAAAGTGGAAAAGGGGTTTAGGTTACGTTCGAGCTTGATTTGGGCTAAATTCAAGCCAATAACAACACAGTAACTCCCAAATAACATCACTTTAAAACCGTGGTCCCTTGTCAATAACACTGAAGACGCAATCCCACAATAACACCATCGCAACCCCTCCAATAACACCTAACACTACTTCAGAAATGTCGCACAACCCCGCAATGGCACCGTCATAAACTCTGAATATCACTGCAATACTATTGCAGTTCTACCATAATAATATCGCCACTGCATAACCTCACAACACCCCGCGGTACAACGCCAATAACACCATAATACAACCGCAATATAACCACAATAATATCTCCACCTCAATGACCCGCGATGACACTACGGTGCAACACAATACACCGACAATAACATAATATTTTTTTTCAATTCCTTGTCAATTCCTTACTGACACCACCTCAAAATTGTCGTGATACCACACCAATAACACCACCTATGCATTCCTTGGCCAATAACACCTCAATAATTTGATGAATAATCCCACGAATAACACCACTGACCCGGTTCTATTCTGATACTACCCAATAAAACTCGGATAAGACCAAACTAACACCATCCAAAATGTTTTTTTTTCTCAAATTTCTCCTCAAAGAAACCCCTAAACTCTGCAAGCCTTGTACAACTAAATTCCTCCAAGTGGTAAATGAAGGAATTCCTTTCCACTCTTGGCAAAAAGCACCTAACTTCATTTATGTTTTTCTTAAACCAAAATAAAATGAAATGAAATCCCTAATCCCTTTGATAAGGACTTTTCCACCCTCTTCCCCAAGCTAGCAACCAACCACAGTAACCTTAGAGACCACCCAAACATGCTTCCATGACTTCAGCCCAAGTCAAACTCAAAATTACCCCAAACCCTTTCCATTTAAATGAAATCCTTGGACATTTGGCACAAAGCAAATGACTTCACAATCTTCAACCACTGAACTCGCTCATCTTGAAAGCAACTTCATATACCCTAGCTTGAACCCTTGACCACCCCTTTGGCCACTCCTTTGGCCTATCAAATGGCCACCTTCACGGACAAAAATGAGAAGCACACCAAAACCCTTGGCAAAACATGCAAAATTTCTTCAGATCATCCTAAATCCCTGTTCAGCAAATTCTCAGCATCCTTGGCCATTCCAATCCATGACAAAACTCTAATTTTGAAGCCTAAAATCATAACATTTTTTGGTCATCAAACTAACTCCATCAAAACTTCAAATCAATTGTTCCAAAAGGTTCACCACTCTACAAAACCTCATTCCCCATCAAAATTTACCTTCCTTGTAGCCTCTAACCCAGTCCTAGGTCAAACCCAAACCACTTTTTGGTCGAGTTCATACTTGGACCTGTCTCAGAGGAAACCATCACTTGTAGGAGGTTTGTGGGACTCAGGCAAAGCTTCTACAACCACCCAATTGAGGCCTCATCTTTTGGGCAAAGGTATAGCTTCAAAACTCTATTTTTTGCTTCGGTTTGGACCTTTGTGAATAACATGAACATTCCATACTTACTTAGTCGTATAATTATGTTCTCTTCACTTAATTGAGCCCACTGTCAAGTAATGCACTTACCTATCAAGATGGTGTATTACTTGTGGTATTGTGCTCAATTATTTAAACTATTTTATATATGAGATCTGTTTGGTCTTGTTCTTAAAATTAAAATATCATTTTTCAAAACTATATATATGTATATATATATTAAATTAAAACAACCAATAGATTCCAAATAGTGGTTGACAGACCACAAGCTTCATCTCATCATCATCCAACCTTACTATGGAAGTACATGAAATTTTCAAATTTCAATAATAACTTACATTTTTATATGTCATTCTGTTGAACGTTTATTGCAGTTGGCGTCTTCAGAAATTATGCATAGTTTAAACTCTACTTAATACTAAAATGGCAGCGCTTACCGATATAGTGCAGCAGAGATCTTCATTTTTGCATGTGGAAGAAGTTCATGTGCATGTT